TTTGGGGTGATGTGCTGGCTGAGTACCGGGTCTCTGTGATCCGTGGACATGCTGTAGGGACTTGTTCCCCCAGCCAGGCCTCGGGGGACTCTCCCTCACTCCAAAAAGAGGAGCCCACCCTGTTCTCAGCTCCTGAAAATGCCCGAGATTACCAGGTGGGCTTATGCCTTGAAGCCCTCCTCAACCCCATACCAATGAGGTCTGGAAGTTTGACTCAAGCATGAGGGCCCCAGCTCTCAGCACCCAGGGGTGTTCTAGAGGCACCCCGACACCTTTACTCTTGGGGAGTGATTGCCTGACCTCCTGGTTCCTAACACCATCTGCCTCTCTGTTTCTCAAGTCCCACGGGTAAATTTTAACCTCTTCCTTATGTCCCTACCCCCAAACCACCAGCTGCACCCCAAAGCCTGCCTTTGGCCCCTCCCATGATCCCACACAGCAATCTGGCTGTAGAGCCAGAAAGAGACTGGCTTCAGGGTGTACCCCAATCCCCAGATCCAGTCCTATGGTAGGAAGAACCTCACCCCAAACCCCCCAGTTCCCACCAAACACTCCCAGGCAGTGAAAATTGACCTGAAATAATTTCTAGTATCCCCGACATGCATGCTGACAGATATTTATGGGGCCTCGTAGAGCAGGCACTAAGTTAAGACATAAATACTCCTCAAAATGACTTTTAATAACCGCTTGATTAAGATACGGTTGACATACCATACAACTCACTCGGAAACGTACAACTAGATTTTTTGTGTTTTTTTTTTTTTTCGCATATTCACAGAATCTTATAACCATCACTACCATCTAATTCATTCTGGAATGTTTTCTTCCAATTATTCTGCAGCCCTAGGCTTGCCTCCTGACACCTAAGAGGTTTTCCAAAATGAAACTCCATGTCCAGGCATGCACCGATCCTGCCCGGAGCTCTTGGCAGACCCAGGTCCCTCTGTGGTCTCTGGATTTGCTTCTTCTGGACATCACCTTTGCACGAATCACACCAGGGCAGCCTGGGCATGTGCTTCCCTATACCCAGCCTCACGTTTTAGAGACCCTCTCTGATCTTTCCTGCTGAAGACCGATAGTTCATGGCGGGCTAAACACCATTCTCTTTGGCTCGGTTGGGTTTGAGTTTGGGGCCACCCTTGGGCCTTACTCCTGGTCCTGCACTAAGAAATCAGTACCGACGGTGTTCAGGGATTCCAGGGATCCTGGTTTGGATACATACAAGGCAGGTGCCATTCCCCACGGTGCTACCTCTCTGCCCCCCCCCTCCCCCCGAACTCATCTTATTCACCTGTTCATCCTGGGTGAGCTCTAGGGTTGGGCCCACTATTTGGCTCTCCTGGGAAATGTGACTGTCACTTCCATAAAGATTTTCCTGGAGACAAAGGATTTTATATCTCCTGATCTCGACACTGGAGTGGAGCTGCTTGACCTCTCTGCAGCCTTTTGAGGGGCTGCCCACTGTTTTCCAGAGGGACGGCTCTGTCTAGCCTCGCCACCAGCTGTGCCGGGGAGCTGTCACCACGGCCCAGCCGGTATAGGTTTCTGTCTGCTCGAGTTTGCCCGCCCTGCGTCTGGGAGCTGCCATCCCACCGGGCTTGCTCTTGCCCCTCCCTGATACTAATGACATGAGCACCATTCCATATGCTCCTTGACCCCTCCTGTGTCTCTTCATCCCTATTTGGGTGCCTGCCAGCAGTGCTCAGAACCATTCCCAGTATTGTCCTGGGTAGGATGGAGCTGCTACAGGAGGTGCTGGGAGGCCCTGCAGTTTCAGGGAGAGCCTGGGTGTCCTGCATGCAAAGTGTATGCTCAGCCCATCGAACCATCTCCTGGACCCATTCCAGGATCTGCCATAGAGAAACACCTTTTCAGATTCTTTGCCTGTGTTTGAGTTGATTTGCCTTCTTGCTGTTGAGTTGCAATGCTCCCTTACATATTGTGGACTCAAGATCCTTTTCAGTGTTGAGGAGAAGGTCACAGCAGGGTATGTGTGTGGGCATGGGTCTATGTGAGTGTATATGTGTGTATGTGTGTGCGTACATGTGTATGTGTGGTGTGTGTGTATGTGTGTGTGCATGTGTTTATGTATGGTGCCTGTGTGTGTACACAAGTGTGTGTGTGTGTGTGTGTGTGTGTGATGGGAACATAGTTTGCAAATCTGCTTTTGGGGAGGGATGCTTTGACATCATAGGTGCGACCCTTTACCACCTGAATAATTACGTAGTTGATGTTTTCTTTAAGCGGGCTCCTATTTCTTTCCATTAAACAACTCTATTTATAAAGGAAACTCGAGATCACAGTTATAAATGGCAACTTTAATGGGCAGCTTTAACGACAGTGAAGTTCCTTGAGGGTGAGAGAAACCTCGCAGAGAATGCATTCCTTCCCAGCCAGGGGGCCGGTGCCACACGCTGGGCGGGACGCTGCCTGCCTGGGCCTGCCGTGCTCAGTGGCACCCATTTCAAAGCCCCCTGTTGAAGAGGAACTGGAAAAAATGAACAGGCAGAAACAGGTTGAAGGCAGAACCATGGCAAGATTTTTCTTCCCTTTGTTTTAAGAGGACCGTAAGTTTTTATTTCTTCGGCAAATAAGACCATGCTTTGAAAAATCTGACGTTATAAAGAAATTTGCACATGGAAGGCGAGCTTAATGCCGTTATTTGTAGGAACCAATAAAAACCACCCCTGGATGAGATAACTGAGCCCTGGAGTGGGCATGTGTGTGTGTGTGCGCGCGCACATGTGCGTGTATTGTGTGTACGTGAGTTTTATGCATGTGTGTATGTGAGAGTGATAAAAACATAGTTTGAAAACCTTGATTTGGGGGAAAGGGATGCTTGGGATCGTGGCATGTTCCTTTCCTACCTGCCTAATTAGTTGATGCTTTCCTTAAGCGGGTTTCTATTTCCTTTCATGAAACAGCTATACGTATAAGGGAAACTCTAGATCACAGTTATAAACCGCAAACCTGCCTCATTTTCAGAATGCAAGTTACATATGAACAAACATAATAGAAACCCGAGTGTTATTAAATTCCAGCTGCTGCTGCTGCCTCAGGCCACAGACAATCTCCCACCCCTGCCAGGCCCAGCGTGACCCCCCTCTCAGCCTCTGCCCCTCCCAGTCCCAGCCCATCCCCACTCTACGTCCTCAGCCTGGAACCTCACAGGACCTCGCTGGGACCATAGCGCCTTGCTGAGGAGGTTCTGATTCTAGGTGTTGGGCTGTGCTGGGATCCTCTTACCCCCCCAAGTAATAGCAGCTGAGTGCGTAGCTCTGAGGTCTGAGGCTCCCGTGTTCTCTCACAAGTGGGTTCCATGCTCATGTTAAAGGTGCATACCAGCCAGCACCCGGGGCCACCTGCACCCCCAGGAAACAGGAGCCTAAACGCACTGGGGACAGCAGCAGCAGCCTCCTGGGCTACGGGTCCAAAACTCATCTGCACCATCCTAGAAAAGGGCGCGCGCTATCACACCAGTGTCCAGATGGGGAACTGAGGCCGACAGCCAGCCCAGGGCACTATGACGGCCACTTAAATGCCACTGGCAGTGGCCAGCTCAGCCGCCTTCCCTCTTCTTCATGGCTCTGAACTCCATCTCTGCTGCCTCTCCCCTGGGACGTGTTGCTGTTCGTGTGAGTGGTGTGTGCGACGTGTGTGTATGGTGCACGTGTGGTATGTAGTGTGTATACGTATGTGGTGTGTGTTTGTGTGTGGTTGTGTGTGTGTGGTATGCATATGTGCATGGTGTGTGTATGAATGTGGGATGCGTATGTATGTGGGGTGTGTGTGTATGTTTGTTGGGTCTGGTGTGCTGTGTGGTGTATGTATGGCATATGGTATATGTGTGGTGTGTGTATGTGTGGTGTGTGTGATATACGTGTGATGTGTGTGGTGAATGTGCAGGATGTGTATGTGATGTGTATGTGGTGTATGTATGGTATATGTGTGGGGTGTGTATGTGTGGCGTGTGTGTGGTGAGTGGTATGGGGTATATGTATGTATGGTGTGTGGGGTAATGTGGTGTATGTATGGTATAAGTGTGGTGTACATATGTGTGTAGTGTGTGTGATGTGTGTGAGTGGTAAATGTGTGGTGAGTGTAATGTGTGTGTGTGTGTGAGAGAGAGAGAGAGAGAGAGAGAGAGAGAGAGAAAGAGAGAGAGAGATGTCTCCTTGGGCTCTCGGTGGGACAGCATCTGTGTCATCACAGCCCAGTCCTGGGCTCTTGGGACTATTTTCCCTCATTTCTGAGCCTGGTGGTGGTGAGCTGGTGGCAGCAGTGGTGGGCACAGCCGGGCACAGGTAGCTTCCGTGACTGCCCTGAGGAGGTCCGAGGAGAGTGGCCCTGGCTCGGGCTGCTTTTCTGGCCGGGAAGGGCTGGTTCTGCCGTGCCTGCCGAGTGTCCCACAGTCTCTGCCTGCGTCTCTTCACGGGCCAGCAGCTGTGCGTCTCTGCCTGCTCCTGCCTGCAGCGGGCCTGGGGGGCACAGGCTGTGCTGGGGTCAGGTCTGCGCCCCATTAACGGTGTCCCCCAGCACTAACATTGAACCCTCGTTATTCCTAAATATTTCGGTATTTATTTTGGCTTGGGGTCACACCTGGCTTGGGGTTCCCCTGGCTCTGCCCAGAGGATCCTTTGTGTGGTAGTGCTTGGACCCTCAACCTCTCCCCTGAAGCCCCGAGCTGTCTCCCTGGTACTGAGCTGGCATTGTGCCTCTGTCCCTCGAACCACCCACGTGGTGCCACGGCTGCCACACCCACCCTCCGCGGGGGGAATGTGGACGCAGAGGTGGGGTCGTTGGCACAGGGGCCTCGAGGCCCGGCAAGGGTCTCCGAGCCAGCAGGGCCCCCTTCCTCCTACCACGGTGGCCTTTCTGGGCTGGGGGGGTGTCTGTAGTCCTGACAATCCCACGTGGGCCCGGGGAGAATGTGCAGAAGGTGGAATGACGCTTACCATGGCAACCTGCCCCACTCTCGGGGCCGAGGTTCTGCTGTGGGCATGGGGCAGTGTCTGAGGCAGCCCATGCTCTGGGAGGACCTGGAGGAGTACCAGGTGTGCAGAGCGGGCTGGCGGACAGGCGGGCGAGTTTCAGGAGCCGGTTTCCTGGGTGGGGAGGTGGGGCCTTGTCTGGCCAGACCTGTCTCCTGTGTCGCTGCCTGCCCACCCTCCCCATCTTATCCCCGGTTCCAGGTCACCCAGAACTTCGCTCTGGTATCTCAGCCCTCCCCTTCCCACAGCAGCCTCCTGGCACAGGGACGGAGGGCAGGGCACCGCCAGCCATGACCTCAGCACAGGCCAGGCACGGGCACCCCCTCTCCCACTGTGGTCTGAGCCCACTCGGGGAGCTCCCCGCGCCCACCCTGCTCTGAGCAGGCAGCTGACTCTCTGTACTTCCTGCAGGCCCTGACGTTCCTGACCAGAAACGAAATTCTGTGGTGAGTGGAGACCCCTCTCCCCTCTGAGCTGGGGATCCCACAGCCTTCCCGGGCCCTGTGGGGTTGAGGTTGCGACTCCCGGGTGATTGGAGTTGAGTGAAATGTCGAACGTCGAGCTGCTGTGGGGACAGAGCTCAGTCAGTACCTCAGAGTCGGACAGGCTCGTTGGGATGAGGAAAGGAGGCTTGTGGCACCATTTTGGACTTTGGCTGACTGGAGGGAGAGTCTTATCTTTCCTCCCTCTCAGCCTCTCCTAGGGGCCGCATCTTGGCCGACCCTCGGCCAGCACCAGGTCACAGGTCACTGGTGAGTGGGGCACAGTCCTGTCTGGAGGGAAGCGTTTCCCTTGAAGAGCTGCCACAGCATCCCCTCAGCAATATGAGGGGAGACTGCGCCCCAAGAACCTGCAAGGTGAATGAGTGAGGGAATCGCTTCAGACCCTCGGGGCTGGGCATCTCCTCACTGTCTCCTCTGGGTCCCCCTCTGCTCTAGTAAAGCCCCCTAAAAGCCACCTCCTGCCCAGAGTCTCAGCTCCATAAACTCCCAAGCAGGGACAGGCACGGAGAGGTGGGAGCAGGCAGCCTTGGCGACCAGGGACAGTCGGGGCGCTGTGGTTCTCTTACCTTCACTGGCCGCTTTTCATGTTTTGTCAGAAAAACATGACACAGCTCCAAATGACCTCTATCCTACTTCCCACTGAACCCTGACTGACATTTTCTGAAAAGCAACGCAATTACGAAGTTTTAAATATCATCTGTGAGAGGGCTGGAAAGTTCCAGTGGCCTAGGAAGCTCTGAATAAAAATCTCTCCCCTCTTCCCAGGCCTGTGGTAGCCACTGTTCACAGACTTTCCCTGAGCCCTCTAGAAAAATCCTCATCACTCGACCTACATGGGTTATCCTCAAAGATGACTCTCTTTCAGGGTCATCTTCACCCCAGGGCACACCTGGGTCTGACTCTTTACAGAGAGGGGTTAAATCTACACAGATGCACCCCCTTTTTTGTCTTATCTCCCCTGCTCTAGAGGAACCTAACTCACCTTACCAGCACCTCCAAGATGAACTAGAGTGCTGCCAATATGACTTCAGCGCTGCCCTAAACGTGTGTCCACAAAGAGTTTATGGAACAGGAAATTCATGGCAGAAATTTCTAGCCCCAAAGTGTGGGCTCGAGGGGCTGTGCTCAAAGGTTCAATAGTCCCGAAGAAGCTAACACAAGAGTGGCACCAGTTGTTCCCTCACCCGCTGGGCATGCCCACGCCTGCTCCTTTGGCCACTCCAGATGATTCCAGCTGTATTCTTCGGGTGCCCAGGGCGCCTGGCACATACCCCACGGGCGGCCAAGGCTGAGGCTGGTGGGTGGGAGAGGGGAGAACAAGAGGGTTGAGCACCACCCCCCCTTCCAGCTCCTCGGGCTCTGAGGAGGCGTTTCCTGAGGGGCAGCCAAGTGGAGGCAGCGTGTCCTCTGGACCGTCGCCCAGGCCAGGAGGCGACCCCCTCCCCCCTCCCCCCACCGCCCTTGGGTCTGTTTCCCACCTGCTCACCCACTTCCCAGGGGAAGGCCACGTTGTTGTTCCGGGGAGCTGGTGCCAAGGAGAAGGGGCAGGGAAACATCTGCTCGCATCCCCTTGGGACCTCCGGGGCCTGCTGGCACTTCCCAGCCTCAGCTGCTCGGGAAGGGCCGTGCCCATACAGGGCACTGCTGCCCAGATCTAGAAGGTCTGGAATGACTCGGGGGTGCTCCATTGCTCATGGAGGGCAGAGGGAGGTGATGGGGAGCTCTCCCTATGTCCCCCACACGGGAGGCTCGAGGACAGAGCAGGACCGACTGGGAGGGGGCAGAGACGCCCAAGTGAGCATTCAGGTGCTCCTGGCTGAGTTCTTCTGTACCGAGGACCATATCTGGGAGGGGCACGGGGGTCACTGAAGGTCTGGAGTAGAGCAGAGAGTCAGGGAGAGTGGACAGGAGCCCGGGCAGCAGGCAGGTAGCTTCAGGCCGGGACAGACGCTCGGCATCGGGAGGGCCCGATGCAGTCGATGCCAGGAACGCTGGGCCAGGCTCTCTCTCCAGGCGGCACCAGCCCCCAGGGCTACAAAGCAAGGACAGTGCAGAGCGGGCAGCGGGCGCTGGCCGGAGGGGTACAGGGGCAGCACATCACAGATGCCCAGCAGAACGTGCAGTGGCTCCGGGAGCAGCAGACCATGGTGCCAGGGGACAGTATGGCCGTGCCAGGGTGCCTGGCCCAGGATGTCACGGGGACAGTTCTCCTGCCAAAGGGACACGTGTGACCCGGGCGATGGCACAACGGGTGGGCTCAGAGGGCTGCAAGAGGATCCAGAAGAGGGTCCAGGAGAGGGGGGTCAATGAGGGGTCCTTGGATCACCCACCCCCCACCATTTGGACCCCTGGAGACCGTGCCTGGCACCCTCTGGCCCTGGGCTCCTGGCTGTGCCGTCGCATCTGGGAACCCATGAGGCCACTCTTCTCCCTGAATCTTGAGCACTCCCTGCCTCCCAGCCTCCCCGACCTGGTCTGGCCAGCAGCTGCTGGTGTGGGGGCCGTTCACGGTCACAGGTGGTGGCAACTGGCTGGCCATTGGGGGTTGGGTGCTCAGCTTCCCAACATGGCTGTGTGGGCCGGTGTGGGGGGTCCCAGGAGGTCCCACTTCCACGTGGGTGGACTTCGGTGTCTGGTCCTGTAGAAATGGGGCTTGGGACAGTTGAGGAAGCGCCTGTCAGGAATCAAAGGAGCATTTTCCTGCCATCTCCATGTCTGTTGGGCAACGGAGGACAGCACTGGTCATGGCTTCATGGCTGGACAGTGAGGAACCAGTGGCTCAGGGCACTCTGGGCATAGGGTGAGCCCAGCAACAGGGCCAAGGTAGCACTGTCCTCCCGTTGTTCATCGATTTGCTCAAATGGGCATCAGTAACGTCTCACAACAAATTGTGAGACTTGTTGTTACTGTTTTTGGCATATCGAATACGTCTCAGGTAGCTTGCCAGGCTTTGCCGTGCAGGCGAAATACTCTCAGTAGCTTGCCAGGCTCTCCGAGAGGGGCGGAGGAATCGAACTTAGGTCGGCCATGTTGTCTGAGTGCAAGGCACAAGCCCTACCCGCTGTGCTATCGCTCCAGCCCTGGGGCCCTGTGTACAGCATAGAATCTGGAAGTGGCAGGACCAGCTGGGCCTGGGCGCTCCTGGGCCTCTGAAGATGCATCTCCATGGTGGAGTGCAGGCCTTGGACAGGCCATGAGCTTGATTTTCCTATGGGACCCCTTGATTCTAATTTAGTGGAAACTCACAGAGGGGAGGTGGGGCCCCAGGAATGTGTGGCAGGTACCGGTTCCCCAAAGCGTGAGCAGTGGAGTGACCCCCCACCAACCCTCCAAGGCCTCAGACAGCACGGCCCCCCACCTTGTCTGCCTTGTGGGGAAAGCAGCCCCCCACCACCACACCCCACTGAGGACCTGCTGGTTTTCTGGCAGGCTAAACGTGTGTTTTGCAAATGGCTGGGCCCAGTGAGTCCATCAGTGATTAATTTCGAGTCACTGATCCGTATTTAGAGGCGGGAATGTCGTGTGGTTGAGCAGACAGTCACCGCTCCCTGTGGACAGCCCTCACTCGGCAGGCTGGGGTGCAGCTGGGAGACCCTCCCCTGGGTAACAGTGGAGGGAGGGCAGCCAGCCCCCGATGTCTCTCCCCACCCACGTGACTTGGGCATTACCCTCTTGCTTCCCTGAGCCTCAGTTTACCTATTTATAGACATACTTGCACCACCCTCTCCCTGGATGGTCAGAAGTTTGTGGGTGCCTCGGGCACAGCCTGGTGAGGGCTAGAGGGGGTGGTGGTTGGCCCCTTCCCTCCTCCTGCCCCAAGCCCTCCTGAACGGTCTCACTGGAAGCTCTAGTCCCTGACCTCAGTTTCCCCATTTGGGAATGACAATGGGTCCATGTAAGTCTTGCCAAGAGCTTCTGTGAGGAGTCTCAGAGGGGGACAGAGGGTCCCACCACCCAAGCCCCCATGTGGGTGTTTGACCTCAGGGGAACTCTTGAAAACATAGACACAGGAAGTCAGTGACAGCTACAGAACAGCCTCCACCGGCAGGCGGGCCAGGACACCCACCTGTCCCCTCAGACCTTCAGGGGGGCGGGGGGACCCCTCCTCTCCCACAGCATGTCTCCCCTCACTTCACTCCCCGCTTTTCAACACCCCCAACTTGTCAGATGGACGCTAGCATCAGGGTGATGGGGTCTGTGGGCGACGGCCTCGTCCCACCCGCCTTGGCAGTCGCCTCTGAGACAGCTCTCCCCACTGGGTCGTCAGAGGCTGACACTAGTTACCTCGTTCAGAGAGACCCAGCCACGTGCCCTGGGTCACACGGCACCTAAGAGAGGGATCAGGCTGCAATGGGTCTGTCCCACTGGCCTGGCGGAGTCCTTGCAAGGTCACTCTGTGGGTCACAGAGGGACGTGACACGCAAGGACCTATGTCCACAGTGTCTGTGGGAGACTGCCAGGCACCAGGCACCTACCTGGGCCTATGGACCGAGGTGTCACGTGAAAGATGAGGGCCCTTGACAGGAGGGATGCGGGACATTGAGGAGTGACACAGTCGGGCTGGGAATAGCGTCCACTGCCCCCCCCAACCCCATCTACTGCCCTTTGGTTTTCTTTTTGTTTGGGATGGGGCACACCTGGTGGTGCTTCTGGGCTCCTCCTGGCTCTGTTCCTGGGGATCACTCCCGGAAGTACGGAGAAATCCAGGTGTGCCAGGGATGGAACCCAGGGCTCCGCCTGTCTGAGGGTGCAGGCAGGGGCTGGTAGTCCCTCACACCTGAGTATGAATTAGCTCATCAGCCTCCTCAGCACCTGGTGGAGAGCAGAGATGGGCAGGGTGAGCAGAGAGGGGAGAAGGGACAGAGGGAAGGTTACTGAAGAAAAGGACCCGAGAGGGACCTGGGTGGGCATCACAGGCCCGGCCAGAGGGCAGGAAGCACCTGGGCTGCAGGAGAGAAAGGATCCCCAGGGCTGCTTCTGTGCCCAACCCATGCATCTCACCCACATCCCTTGTCGGGGGATGTTCCATAGTGAAGGCAGAGATGCTGAGTGCAGGTGTGGTGTTGGACCAGCACGTGGGCTCCGTGCCGTCACTTGGTAGAATCAGGATTTGAATCTGGGGACCCGGATGTTCCCATCAGAGCCATGCCCAGTGCTCTGCACCCGTGCTCACCAATGGCCTGTGGGGGAAACTGAGGCTCAGGAGTAGAGTGACGTCATATAGCCCCCCTGGAGGAGCCGGGTCCAGCACCCTGGCCCTTTCTCCACTTTCTCTGCTCCCTGGCAGCCTCGGTGCCCAGTCCAACGGGCCTGCTGGGGGAAGGGTGTCACGTCCAGGCCTGGTTGGTGGGAAGGTCATGGGTGGGCTGGCTTCTAGCCCATCCTCTCCCCTCCATGGTGGGGGGCAGGAGCATGTCTGCAACCACTCGGCTTGCTGGCCTCAGGCAGTGGTAATAGTGTCCTGGGCTCAAATCCTGCCTCCTCCCGACCGGGCACAGGGAGTGGCGGGGTCCCAGGTGGCCCCTGGCCTCTCCACAGCCCTCCCCTACCCCCCCCCGGGCTCCCCAGACTGCTTTCCCAGCTAGAAATGAGGGCTCTGGGGGTTGTGATAGTGGACACGGTAGGTGTGTGCCAGGTCACAGGGCACATCCTGCCTTTGCACTCGACCTGCGGTGCCCTGGGGGCCTCAGTGATGCTTTTAGCAGGGTGAATAGTTCCCATCTTCTCCCCTCCATGGCTCCGAGCCCCCTTCCTCTGTAGGAAGCTGGCGGGAGAGAGGCCCAGAGTGTCACATCTCTCCGCAGCATCCACGACACCTTCCTGAAACTCTGTCCTTCCGCGAAGTACTACAAGGATGCAACTCTGACCGTGGACCAGGTCAGCTCCCTGCCAGCCCTCAGGGTGAGTCCTACGGGTGAAGTGGTGAAGGGTGAAGGGGTCCGGGTGGGGGTGAGAGCTGAGGGCTCTGTGACCCTCCAGCCCCAGGAGGGGCCCAGCTATGAGAATGTCACATTCCTCATGCCACCCGAGGCCACAGTGATGGCAGATCTCTCGGGTGGGCTGTTCCGGGCCTGCTGACCCACTGTCCAGTCCTCCGGGGGCTGCGGGTGTCTTTGAGCTGTGCTGAGCCCCTCCTCCTGCCTGGCCCTTCCTCTCTATCTCTTGGGCCCTGACCTAGGAGTGGGAAGGTGGGGTGGGGGAGGGTCCCCCGTGGGAGGCGGCCAGCCTTGGAAAGCTGGGGGTGACCCGGCCATTGCCCCAGACCTCCCTCAGTCCTCTTCTGCCCAGCTATGCTGGGAACCTGGACTTGTCTAGAGGGACAGAATCTTCTCAGCCTCTTTGCCGAGAACCAGGAGCAAAGCCTGGAGCCGGGGGGGACTCACACCCCAACCTGCATAGTCCGGGCAGGAAAGGACGGGCACCCCCTCCCTGGCCCCAGCACCTCTGGGAGCAACCCTAAGCTCTGAGTCAGGAGCAGCCTCTGACACACAAACAAAAGTGAAATGAGAATGTCTTCTCCACCGTGTCCTCACAAGCACACGCCTCTTCACACCCCTTTGGGTGCCCACTCTCTCTTTTGGGGCTGCCCTGCTCCCGGGGTTGGGGGTTCTTGTCACCAGAAGTGTCAGACTTCTCAGTCTAATCTCCATGGAATGCTCCTACCCTGGTTTTACCCTTTGGAAAACAGGTCAGGGAGGGCTGGGACTGGCTCCGGGTCCTGGGTCAGGGACCCTCACTTTCACGCATCTAACCAGGCCTAGCTCATGGCCCGCCACGTGCCTAGGTGCCCTGAGGGTGCCCTGAGGGTGGCTATTCTAGCATGGAGGGTGTCCCTGGCGTGTGGTCCCCACCCTCCCATGGACCCACGTCACCAGCTCTGTTCTGAGCGCAGAGGAGCAAGCAGCCACCTGGGTAGGCGCAGGAGGACCGGTCTGGGCCCGGCTCCATCGCAGCCAGAATGACACAACTCCCCTCGATGCGTCATTTTCCTCCCTGTGAAACAATCTGCGCGCTGTGCTGGGGAACAGCCGGCGAGGGGCGAGCCAGCATCCTCCGCGCCCTGCACCCCACCCACGCCCAGCTCAGGGGAGAGCGGCAGGTGCACTGGGGGAGAGGGATGCACAGTTCCAGGCAGCACACGCAGCGACGTCCGGGACGGAGGCGGGGGTCTGTGGTGAGCAGGGTTTCGGTGGCCTGGGGCAGTGGACAGTTACAGTAGGAAACATCAGGTTGCTGTGGGTGAGGGAAAAGCCTTGCCGGGTCTGCGGCAGGCCACGCCCAGCCTGCGGCAGGCCACGCCCAGTCTGCAATAGACCACGCCCCGTATGCGGCAGGCCACGCCCAAGGCACGGCTGGCCACGCCCAAGGGGCAAGGTCGGGTGAGGGAACTGGGGTGGGCCATTTCCGTTTCTCCAGAAGCTGCAGATCCCCCAGGACCCTGTTTACAGGACATTGGTCAGGAACTGAAGTGAGTCTTGGGAAGAGATTAATTTTACTTTTCTTATTACATTTCTCTCAATGGTCATTATATAAAATTAGCATGCCAATAAAAAAAGATTACTGTAGAAAAGCTGGAAACCAGAAAAGCAAAAATATGACAAAACCATTTAGTAGCCCTCCTCAAGGGATGGTTGCATTTTGCCTTGTTTTCTTCAGGGTGTTTTTCCTTTCCTGTGAATCTAGACAAGTGTTTATTGGAGCCACACTAAAAAAATATTGCCATGCCATTTGTTTGTTTCCTCTTGCATTTCGAATGGCTCTGAGCAGTCAGAGACATCTCGTGAGTTGAGGACTCCAAGTTGTTGCCACACCTAAAGGAGTGGGAGAACCAGGTTTGAGGTGAGGGCTTCTCCTTGGTTAAAGCTTAAAGCTGGGAGACCAAAGGAATAGTATAACAGGGAGGGCCCTTAACTTGCACAGGTTGATACAGGCTGGACCCCCGACGTCCCATAAGGTCCCCTGAGCCTTTCCAAGAGTGATCCTTTAGTGCAGAGCCAGACGTAAACCCTGAGCACCACAGTGTGTGGGCCCCCTAAAAACCTTCCCCCCAATAAATAAAAGGTAAAGCTAGGCACCAGATGCCCAAGGCAGTGACCAAGGTCCAAGCAAGTGTTTGACAATACTGGGAAGCAGCATACAGAAGAAATGAGGTCCTTATCACTGAAAGGTATGGCCTTGGCACATGGTCAGCCAAGTATGTGGTAAGAATGTTCTAGAACACACAACCCTCACTGAAAGACGAGAAGACAAGCACTGATACCCTCTCTGCCCTCTGGATTCTTCTGTATCATCTACCACAGAATGTTCCAGACTTTGGATTCCAATAAAATTTCCCCAAAGCATATTTTTGGAGGAGAGAGTAGAGGTGCCAAACTTTTCATTTTGGCCAAGTAAGGACATTAAAAAAAATTGTCACCCGCAATCACCATCATTTCGTTGTTTGGCTTTGTTTTTTAAACTTTGTTGTAGAACACAAGTATTAGAAAGATTTAAGAATCATTCTTTCCCAGTGCATCCCCTTTGGACCCCTGTTTGCTTGCCTCATGCCAGATGACCAGGAAGTTTATCACTGACTGTCGCTGGTCCTCAGACTGGCGTTTGGGTGTTTGGATCTAGGATTGCTCTGCCTTTGTGTCCTTCCAGTCATGTTCATGCTAAACGCCTGCTTCCCCAAGCGAGCTGGGAGATGCTGGCTTCGAGGCAGGGGCCCCAGAGTTCCTATGTCCTCTGAGCCCCAAGGTCATTGCTATGTGAGTCACACTGCCCAGATACCATCTTTGGAAAATCTTTGAGAATGGGGCCCCAGGGAACGCTGGGTCCAGCACTGACTTGGCTCAGGGGCTTAAGTGGTCTGGGAAGAAAGTTCTGCTTCCTTAACTTGGATTCACTCGTGGAAAAAGTAGGTTGGTTAACACTGAGAAGGGTCTGGCTGTCGGAGGACGGGATCCGGGCAGTCAAGGGTCAGGAGACAAGTGTGGCGATGAGAAGGCCCCGCCTTGCCTGGACACAGCACCCCTTTCTCACTCAAAAGTTTCTGGGTTTCTTTGAAGTTTTTTTTTTCTTTTTTGGTCTACTGATCTGTTTGATATATGTGAATGAGTTCAGTGTTTCTGTTTCTGTAAATAATGATCTTGCTTTCTGCAAACACAGATGAGTAGTAGTAGGGTGTATGTGTGTGTGTGTGTGTGTGTATGTGTGTGTGTGCGTGTGTGTGTGTGTGTGTGTGAGAGAGAGAGAGAGAGAGAGAGCAGGATTCTGGTTTCTGGGCTCAATAGGGGACATGGCAGGACCCCAGCGAAGATGCAGACTGGGGCCATGCCCACCCCTCCCAGCCTTCCTGCAGAGGGTGGTCCCTGCACAGCTCAGCCTGTCATTAGCCCAGCACAGCTGCTGGAAAACACAGCATTTCCGGATCCTGCACAGGGTGTGAGGAGTCCACGCGTGGGGTCCTGAGATCTCAGTGGGCCTTGGGTTTCCGTCCATCTGCTGTTTCTCGGGACCTTTCTGAGGCTGGCCTCCAGGCTGGGCCACTCTGCTTAGAAGAGCTCAGGAAGAAGTCAGGCTTTCTGCGACCAAGAAATCCTGCGGCTCGAGAAATGGCGGGGGATGAGCAGCAGGGATGGGAATATACTTTCTCAGTGTTTTAACTTTATAGATCAAAATGATTCATGCACGCCCAGAGTCGAATTGCCGGATGAGCTTATCCCTGTGCTTTCCCTGGAGACAACTATTCTCAGCTCTTAGCCAATTCTGGCATTTGCTTCCACGTATCACAAGAACACACTCACGGCCCCTGCTCCCAGCTCCCCGCCGACTCCCCCCAGAATAGAGTCCTTCCCACCCCTCCGCCACAAGCGTGTACCCAGCACTACCCATTGTCCTACCCGCCTCGACCAGTCCCCAACTACAGCCAGTGAGTTGAGCAGAGCTGTGTCTTCACTGGAAGTTTTTTCGTGGCTCTCATCTTTCCTGGATGGAATCGTTGGTTTTGCTTCCTCCTGTTTACTTACAGGCAGTCAACACCAAAGCCCTACCAGCCGCCTTCATCTCACCCAAGGGCCTTCAGAAGTGAGGTGTTTTCTATACATTCTGCTTTCCTGGCCCATTTTCTCTTGCGGCTGCTCTGGTAGGGACCCGAGCTGCGTTTGTCCTGGAGCAAATCTCCTGCTAGACTCATCACCTCTCCAGTTCCACGTTGAACAGAAGCTGCAGGGGCAAGGGCAGTGGAAGAGGCAGGAAAGGAACACTAGACACCTCGCAGCTCTAAAAAAGTCTTCTGGCTCCTTCTCACTTAACTGCGTCTAGAGCAAGCTGGCTCTCCTTTTTTTCTTTGGAAATTGGGAAGTATCGCTTGGCTGCATTTTCACTTCTACTGGTTTTTTAAGAAGTCCCGTCTTCCTCTTGCTTAATTTTTGCCGTGTGACTACTGTTTGCCTTTCTGGAAGCCCACCAGCTCTCCTTGACCCCTGCATGATGAACTTTCCTGGCTCGTGTGGTGCTTGTCCCCCTGCGCCAGGCCCTGGGAAGTGGTGGGGGTGGGGTGAGGGGGGTTTTCAGTCTGGGTGCCCGCCTTCCATTCTTGCTGTTTCTGTGCATTTCACTCTCATTTCCAGGCGCTCACAGTTCTCAATGGGCGTTATTTTGGAAACGTTTTCCCTGAGCTTTCCTGCAGGCATTTCCCTGCTTGCTTGGTTGACTGTCTCTTTGGATCTCACAGTCCTGGGACTCGGGGCGGGGTGGTGCTGAAAAGCTCGTCAAAGCAGGAGTCCCAAGTGGAGTTGGAGTCTCTGTGGGGAGATCTGGGGGCTAGAGAAAAGACGGGAGTCAGTGCTCGCTACGGGCTTGCTAGTGAAGTTGGGAAAGAGGGCTGGAGGCGTCGGAGCTCAGCACGGTGTAGTTCT